ATATATCCCAGGTATAGGTATCCCAGGTGTGTATATATATATACATACCTGGGATACCTACCCATATGGAAGAAAAATATATGTGAAATATATTTTTAAACTATTCTTCCCAAATATATTGACATATATTTGAAATGCTACAATTTTGGCCATATTCAATATATTTCAAAATATATTTCAATATATATATATATATATATAGATAGATATATGTTAAAATGCATTTTTATTACAAAATATATGAAAAATATTTTTAAAAATGCGAAAAATATTTTTAAAAATACTTTTCAAATATACTGTATGTCTTTAAAAATACAAATCTACATTTTTGGATTGCATTTACAAATATATGTAAAAATATATGTTAAAATGACTTTTTTATATGTTAAAAAAAAATCTGAAGAATATATTTAAGACAATATATTTTAAAAACTTTCAACATACAAGATATATATATATATAGATATAGATAGATATATTTATTGAAATATATTGAATATGGTCAAAATTGTAGCATTTCAAATATATGTAAAAATATATGTTAAAATGACCTTTTTATATGTTTAAAAAAAATCTGAAGAATATTTGAAAACAATTTCAACATACCATATATATAAATATCTATTGAAATATATTAAATATGGCCAACATTGTAGCATTTCAAATACTCTGTCCTAACTGTTATATGCAAAAGGTGAAGCAACCCTTCCCTGATTCCATGAATTGTACAGGGCACACTGTTGGCGGTATCTCAGTGCCAGTTGGGCGTGGAGTGGAGGAGTTACTCTCACCATATATCACCATATTACGGAGAGTGCACCATGAATGTCTCTCCTTTCTAACCTGTCCCAGACATGAGCACTTCCCAGGTCTATGGGACAACTGACAGTGTCCCCAGCACTAGACCCACCCATATTTCTTCTAGATCAATTTGGCCACACCCACCATTTGGCATGGTACACTATTAGTCCCGCCTACTGCTTCACCCCCTACAGATTTCAACTTTAGCCAGACTCCAGGCAAGTACATTAAGTGACTCATGGAGCTCCATAGTAGGTTTTATGGTTGTATGGAGACATAATGGAGGCATAATGGAGACATAATGGCTGCATAATGGAGGCATAGTGGAGGTATAATGGAGGCATATTGGAGGTATAATGGAGGCATGGTGGAGGTATAATGGAGGCATGGTGGAGGTATAATGGAGGCATGATGGAGGTATAATGGAGGCATGGTGGAGGTATAATGGAGGCATGGTGGAGGTATAATGGAGGCATGGTGGAGGCATGATGGAGGCATGATGGAGGTATAATGGAGGCATGGTGGAGGTATAATGGAGGCATGGTGGAGGTATAATGGAGACATGGTGGAGGTATAATGGAGGCATGGTGGAGGTATAATGGAGGCATGGTGGAGGTATAATGGAGGCATGGTGGAGGTATGATGGAGGTATATTGGAGGCATGATGGAGGTATAACGGAGGCATGGTGGAAGTATAACGGAGGCATGGTGGAGGTATAGTGGAGGCATGGTGGAGGTATAGTGGAGGCATAGTGGAGGTATAATGGAGGCATGGTAGAGGTATAATGGAGGCATGGTAGAGGTATAATGGAGGCATGGTGGAGGTATAATGGAGGCATGGTGGAGGTATAATGGAGGCATGATGGAGGTATAATGGAGGCATAGTGGAGGTATAATGCACACCTATTAATGCAGCTCCATAATCATTAATAAATCATTAAAATGCATTTTTTTTTCAGTGCAAATGAATTTGTCCATGGTTCAGCCTCTAAAGCAGCAGAGCTCAGACTGACAAACGGAGAGGTAGGACTGGGAGGAAAGCAGAGAGACTGCATGTGAATGTGTTGATATGAAACATGCTGATAGGAGGAGCAGAGTGAGCAGGGGGATGATCGTGCCAGTCTGCTGCTGCTCTTTTACTGTACACATAGCAGGAGGTAGGAAGAGATCAGCCCTCTATTCTCTAACTGTAAGCTATGCTGTGTGGCAGAGCTGTAGAAATCCCAGGACTGGATGGACAGAGCTCCAAATCAATTGTGCTTCAAGAGCGAACTTGAATGCATCATTGTCCTAGAAGAGGAAAAGAGGACCATGATCCAAGGCCATTTCCAGGGGCAGTTCTCCAAATCCCCTGGCGGTGCCCCTGCGGTGGGGAGCAGGTACTCCTCCTGCCCGCACCCTGTACCTGGAGCCACCTGGTATTATCCGCTCCTTTACAAACAGCCGTGTACGAGGGCCTAATTACTAGGCAGGTCTGCGGAGAGCCTGGAGACCCTCGTCAGCCCCGGAGACATCCAGGACACACCCAGAAACAAGCACAGACACACTCAACCACAACCCCATATTCCTCCAGACGGGCACACCATCCCGAAATAATTACAACGCAACAACGTCTCGAAAAAGGAGCACAATATGGAACGTCTGTCTGGAAGAGGAACGGATCACAAAATGCTGAACTAGGACTTAAAGCTGAACTCCGGGGAAACTAAGAGCCCTCCCTTGTAGTGGGGCTGTGTGGGGGCTAAATGCTGCTTATATGTCTAGAGAAGGTCTGTTAGACAGGTTCCCAATGGCTCCCCCCCCCCCCCCATGCTTCTGCAATCAGGTCCTGATCTCATCAAGACCAATGCAGGAACCATAGCCCTGCATTGGACATGAGGATGCCTAGGAACCAGGGATGGACTGACAACTCATGGGGCCCCTGTGTCCTCGCCCACACTCAAACCACACCCAAAAAAGCCTATGAAAAAGGTACCAGGGGCATCTCATGGGGCCCCCTACTGACCCCGGTCCCTCGGGCAGTGCCCGAGTTCCCAAATGGTCAGTCCGCCCCTGCTAGGAACACTGTATGGGTATACATGACATAACTCTGTATGAGTATACATGACAGGTACACTTTGCCACCCAGGCAGCCAGAGTCCTTCACGTGGCACTGCGCAGCTATGGGCACCGCAGATGTTCTTCAGCTCTCAGGCTGCTGCTTGCCAAACTCAATGTCATGAGTCCTGTAGGTTCCTCTGTAATTTTCAAACCCGTTGCTCTGTAATTACAAGGCTGCGTCTCTTGTTTGTGACCCCTGGGACTTGGCACGGTGTCCCCTGTAGATGCACACCCAGTGACCCCGGGACACAAGAAGACACGGATCTACCGGGAACAGAAATGTCATCATTGCGTGGCACCATCCTCATACACAACACACCTTCCAGCCAGCGGTAGGAGCGTGCCTAGGGGGCCAGGGTCAGGGACTACGTCCACCTTCAGAATTAAAGTCTGTGATTGAGACCGATCAACATTACTGGTCTATGACAGCTCAGTCACTGTGCTGGGAGCGCACAGAAGTGCTGGGAGCGCACATAACTGCTGGGAGCGCACATAACTGCTGGGAGCGCACAGAAGTGCTGGGAGCGCACATAACTGCTGGGAGCGCACATAACTGCTGGGAGCGCACAGAGGTGCTGGGAGCGCACATAACTGCTGGGAGCGCACATAACTGCTGGGAGCGCACATAACTGCTGGGAGCGCACAGAAGTGCTGGGAGCGCACAGAAGTGCTGGGAGCGCACATAACTGCTGGGAGCGCACAGAAATGATGAGAGCGCAAAGATATTTAGCCCTTAGTTATACACTATATTGTCAAAAGTATTGGGTCGCCGGTCTTTCCACGCACATTAATGGCCCCCCAGTCTTAGTCCGTAGGGTTCAATATTGAGTTGGCCCCCCCTTTCCACACACATGACCTGTAATGGCCCCCCAGTCTTAGTCCGTAGGGTTCAATATTGAGTTGGCCCCGCCCTTTCCACCCACATGACCTTTAATGGCCCCCCCAGTCTCAGTCCGTAGGGTTCAATATTGAGTTGGCCCCGCCCTTTCCACCCACATGACCTTTAATGGCCCCCCAGTCTTAGTCCGTAGGGTTCAATATTGAGTTGGCTCCGCCCTTTGCAGCTATAACAGCTTCAACTCTTCTGGGAAGGCCGTCCACAAGGTTTAGGAGGGTGTCTATGGGAAGGTTGGACCATTCTTCCAGAAGCACATTTGTCAGGTCAGGCACTGATGTCGGGGGAGGAGGCCTGGCTCACAGTCTCCGCTCTAATTCATCCCAAAGGTGTTCTATGGGGTTGAGGTCAGGACTCTGTGCAGGACAGTCAAGTTCCTCTACCCCAAACTGGCTCCTCCATGTCTTTATGGACCTTGCTTTGTGCACTGGGGGGCAGTCATGTTGGAACAGGAAGGGGCCATCCCCAAACTCCTCCCACAAAGTTGGGAGCCTGAAATTGTCCAAAATGTCGCCTTAGGAGTTCCCTTCACTGGAACTAGGGGGCCAAGCCCAACCTCTGAAAAACAACCCCACACCATAATCCCCCCTCCACCAAACTTTACACTTGGCACAACGCAGTCAGGCAAGTACCGTTCTCCTGGCCACCGCCAAACCCAGACACGTCCATCGGATTGCCAGACAGAGAAGTGTGATTGGTCACTCCAGAGAACACGTCTCCACTGCTCTAGAGTCCAGTGGCAGCGTGCTTTACACCACGGCATCCGACGCTTTGCATTGCACTTGGTGATGGAAGGCTTGGATGCAGCTGCTCGGCCATGGAAACCCATTCCATGAAGCTCTCTACACACTGTTGTTGGGCTCATCTGAAGGTCACACCAAGTTTGGAGGTCTTTAGCTATTGACTCTGCAGACAGTTGGCGACTTCTGCGCACTGTGCGCTTCAGCATGCGCTGACCCCGCCCTGTCATTTGACGTGGCCTACCACTTGGTGGCTGAGTGGCTGTTGTTCCCAGTTGCTCCCACTTTGTTATAATCCCACTAACAGTTGAGCGTGGAATATTTAGTAGCCAGGAAATGTCCCGGATGGACTTATTGCCCAGGTGGCCACCTATCACGGGACCACGCTTGGAGTCACTGAGCTCCTGAGAGCGACCCATTCTTTCAGCAATGTTTGTAGAAGCCGTCTGCATGCCTAGGGGCTTGACTGTATACACCTGTGTCCATGGAGGGGATTGGAACGCCTGAATCACATGATATGGAGGGGATTGGAACACCTGAATCACATGATATAGAGGGGATTGGAACACCTGAATCACATGATATGGAGGGGATTGGAACACCTGAATCACATGATTGGGAGGGGATTGGAACACCTCAATCACATGATATGGAGGTGATTGGAACACCTGAATCATATGATATGGAGGGGATTGGAACACCTGAATCACATGATTGGGAGGGGATTGGAACACCTGAATCACATGATTGGGAGGGGATTGGAACACCTGAATCACATGATATGGAGGGGATTGGAACACCTGAATCATATGATTGGGAGGGAGAGGATTGGAGCACCTGAATCACATGATTTGGAGGCGTGTCCTAATACTTTTGGCAATATAGTGTACTTTAAATATAAAAATGACCACATTTCACCTTCAGTCCTATCCATGTCTGGAACCTGGTCATGTGACCTGGACGCGGTGATGATCCCGTCGCTGGCACCTGTACAGCCCCAAATCCGTTACACTTTGAGGGCAAATCCGTGAGATTTGCTTTGGCCGAAATTCAAGGGGATTTGGAGATCTGCGCCTTCGCTGAGGATTTATAGAAAGATTTCAGATGTTTATTGTCCTTTCCCGGCCAGACGTTCTCACAGCGCCGGATTGGGCTAAATTTAGAGTCAGTTTTATTCGCTTTGAATAAGATTTGCACTTTCAACCTTTTCTATGTAAAAATGAACGACTTTTTCCTGTATGATGTGCATTCCGGGCCAGGGGCGGACTGACAGCTCATGGGGCCCCCGGGCAATAGGGGATCATGGGGCCCCTGTATCCTCACCCACACTCAAACCACACCCAAAAAAGCCTACGAAATTCACCAGGGGCATCTCATGGGGCCCCCTACTGACCCCGGGCCCTTGGGGTCAGTCCGCCCCTGTTCCGGGGTAGACTCCATGTATCTAGAAGTGGCACATTGAGCGACGCTTGTATCGGAATCTGCGCTTCTCAAACGTCTTCAGTCCTTTGGAGCCCCCCCCTTAAAAGTTTGCAAACTCTCAAGGCACCCCAGTCTAAAATGGGGTCCCTCTTCACATCATAAGCCATCCTTTAACATCTGAGTCCCCCATGCACATCAAAGTCCTCTCCCCCCCCCACATAAGAGACCTAACCACCCCTATCCTTTTCACATCACTCCTCACCCCCACCTTTTTTAATTCCTCAGCAAGTACCCCCTTCACATAAAAGTCCTCAGCAACCCCTTTACTTTCCACCAGAGTCATCAGTCCCCCTTTCACATCAGAGTCTGCAGTACCCTTCCCCCACCCTTTCATATCAGAGTCTTCAGTCATCCTCCTCCCCACATCAGAGTCTTTAAGAGGCCTCCCCCTTCTACATCAGAGTCCTCAACCCCCCACCCAGGGGCAGATTGACAACTCATGGGGCCCCCGGGGCAATAGGGGATCATGGGGCCCCTGTGTCCTTGCCCACACCCAAAAAAGCCTATGAAATGTACCAGGGGCATCTCATGGGGCCCCCTACTGACCCCGGGCCCTCAGGCAGTGCTTGAATGGTCAGTCCGCCCCTACCCCCACCCCTTTCATATTGGAGTCCTTAGTCCTCACCCTCCTTTTTCATTTCTTGGCAACCACCCCCTTAACATCAAAGTCTTCAGCACCCCCTTTACTTTCCCCCCGTAGAGTCATCAGCCCCTCTTTCACATCAGAGCCCCCAGTACCCTTCCCCCCACCCTTTCACATCAGAGTCCTCAATTCCCCCCCCCCCCTTTCCACATTGGAGTCCACAGTCCTCCCCTTTCATATCAGAGTCCTCAGTCCATCCCCCCTCCCTCACATAAGAGTTCTCATCACCCCCCATCTGTTTCACATTGGAGTCCTCAGTCATCCCCCCTCTACATCAGAGTCCACAGTCATTGTCCGCCCTCCACATCAGAGTCCTCAGTCATTGTCCGCCCTCCACATCAGAGTCCTCAGTCGTCGTCCGCCCTCCACATCAGAGTCCTCAGTCGTCGTCCGCCCTCCACATCAGAGTCCTCAGTCGTCGTCCGCCCTCCACATCAGAGTCCTCAGTCGTCGTCCGCCCTCCACATCAGAGTCCTCAGTCGTCGTCCGCCCTCCACATCAGAGTCCTCAGTTGTCGTCCGCCCTCCACATCAGAGTCCTCAGTCGTCGTCCACCCTCCACATCAGAGTCCTCAGTCGTCGTCCACCCTCCACATCAGAGTCCTCAGTCGTCGTCCGCCCTCCACCTCAGAGTCCACAGTCGTCGTCCGCCCTGCACATCAGAGTCCACAGTCGTCGTCCGCCCTCCACATCAGAGTCCTCAGTCATTGTCCGCCCTCCACATCAGAGTCCACAGTCGTAGTCTGCCCTGCACATCAGAGTCCTCAGACGTCATCCGTCCTCCACATCAGAGTCCACAGTCATTGTCCCCCGTCCACATCAGAGTCCACAGTCATTGTCCGCCCTCCACATCAGAGTCCTCAGTCATTGTCCCCCGTCCACATCAGAGTCCACAGTCATTGTCCGCCCTCCACATCAGAGTCCTCAGTCGTCGTCCGCCCTCCACATCAGAGTCCTCAGTCCCCCCTTTCACAATCAAAGTCCTCATCCCCGCTCCCACTTCCCCTCATCCAAAAGCCCAGAGACTGCCTCTGGGCACCACCATCTTGGATGTGATGTCTGCAGCCCCAGCAGACTCACTCAAGCAACACTCTATCGTATTCCCTTTCTCTCCTTTCCCTGCTGCTACATAAACGTTTATGTAGAGGGAGAGGGAAGGGGTGAAGGAGCTGGGCCAGCACAGACAGTAGTTAAACACTCAAGAAGAGGGGGTTATGACGTGCGATGAGGATGCTGCAGTCACAATTTCCAGCTAGCTCAAAGGCAAAGAAAATGGAAAGGAGAACTGCTGCTCAATACTTGATTGTTCTCTGCTTTTCTGTGTATTTGGTTTTACGTTAGTGGCTCTTTAAGCGTGACTTTCCATCATGTATTTCATTTTAATTTATTTTTTATTTTTTGCAGGTTCCATCCTGGCCCGAAACGTCTCCACCCGGTCATGCCCTCCGCGGACGAGCCCCGCGTCTGATGTTGAGGAAGATGAAGAGGAGTTAATAGATGGAAAGGGGTAGGTTCCTAGTATTACATGTAATGAAAGGCCTGGATGAGGGAGGCAGCGCTCGTCATTGGCGTGACTTGTGTCCGGGGATTGGAAGTGTTGCGTCTCACAATACCAGACTAGACAGCTCTGAGCTATCATTACGCCGTCTACCACGTTAATTACCCTTTGTGGCTTCCACTCCTTCCTTTCCGTATTCCTTAAATATGAACCACGCCAACTTCTTGCCAAAGTTTTAGCTTTCCATCATCACTGCAATAAAAGTCGGCTACAATATTCCATGTGAGAGTTCAGCTCCTTCTTGTGCTCACACACACGGGGATCAGTCATTTTGAGGGCTAGTACAGCACCGATGAGTAGTCATTAAGTGGGTACTTTAGGGACCGTGTCATCAGGAACGGTGGTGGTGGCCATTCTGAACCAGTGACATCACCAAGGGATAGTCTGGCAGCCAGAGCCAATTACTCTACGGCAGTGGTCTAGGGGCCAGATGTGGCCCTTTGCTTGCTTTTATCTAGCTCTCAGCCAGGGTCGGGCTGACAACTCATGGGGCCCCCGGGCAATAGGGGATCATGGAGACCCTGTGTCCTTGCCCAAACTCAAAAAAGCCTATGAAAAAGGTACCAGGGGCATATCATGGGGCCCCCTACTGACCCCGGGCCCTCGGGCAGTGCCCGAGTTTCCAAATGGTCAGTTCGTCCCTGCCCTCAGCGCATTATTCCCCCCACTGTCAGCAGCAGTGGGGCATAGTTCCAATGACACTGACAATGGGGCACTGGACCTCTTACTGACACCAACGATAGGACAGGACACTGTTCCTCGTTGATGCCAATGGTGGGGTGCCATTCCTCCCATTGATACTAATGATGGGGCACTATTCCTCCCACTGACACCAATGATGGGGTACTATTCTTCCCAGTGACAAAAATGATGGGGTACTATTCCTCCCACTGACACCAATGATGGGTCACTATTCCTCTCACTGACACCAATGATGGGGCACTATTCCTCCCCCACTGACACCAGTGATGGGGCACTATTCCTCTCACTGACACCAGTGATGGGGTACTATTCCTCTCACTGACACCAATAATGGGGCACTATTCCTCCCACTGATACAAATATTGGGCACTATTCCTCCCACTGACACCAATGATGGGGCACTATTCCTCCCATTGACACCAATAAAGGGACACTATTTCTTTCACTGACACCAATGATGGGGCATTATTCCTCCCACTGACACCAGTGATGGGGCACTATTCCTCCCACTGACACCAATGATGGGGTACTATTCCTCCCCACTGACACCAGTGATGGGGCACTATTCCTCCCACTGACACCAGTGATGGGGCACTATTCCTCTCACTGACACCAGTGATGGGGTACTATTCCTCTCACTGACACCAATAATGGGGCACTATTCCTCCCACTGATACAAATATTGGGCACTATTCCTCCCACTGACACCAATGATGGGGCACTATTCCTCCCATTGACACCAATAAAGGGACACTATTTCTTTCACTGACACCAATGATGGGGCATTATTCCTCCCACTGACACCAATGATGGGGCACTATGCCCCCCACTGATACCAATGATGGGCATTTTTCCTTTCACTGACACTACTGATGGGGCACTATCTCTCCCACTGACACCAACGACGGGGAACTATTCCTCCTACTGATACCAATGATGGGGCACTGTTCCTCTCACTGACACCAATGATAGGACACTGTTCCTCATACTGACACCAATGATGGGTCACCATCCCTCCCACGAACACCAATAATGGGGCACTATTCCTCCCACTGACACCAATGATAGGACACTGTTCCTCATACTGACACCAATGATGGGGCACTATTCCTCTCAATGACACCAATGATGAGGCACTATTCCTTCCAATGACACCAATGATGGGTCACCATCCCTCCCACGAACACCAATAATGGGGCACTATTCCTCCCACTGTCACTAACAACAGGGCACTATTCCTCCCCAATACAAAAAATGGGGCACTATTTACTCCCACTGATGGCAGGACAGGCCGGCCTCCCTAAAGATTGAAGAACAATAAACTGGCCCTTTGTTTAGAGGGTTTGGAGACCCCCTGCCCTAGGAGATCAGGAAGATTCATCTGCCGGAAGCATGGCCTTGTCAGATGGCGCACCCCACGTGATTGAGGGGAGTCAGCATCGGGAGAAGTGCTTATATTGGAATAGCTTACATATTTTTGGCTTGTCATAGAAAGAAACATTTTCCCTGTTGGAGCAAATTAGACCACATTTTATGCAGGTTTTGCCTGCCTCTGGATGGACTGTGAGCTTAGGGACCTGGGGATACAATGAGAGTAATTGACCAAAAATAAGTGGGAGAACCAGACAGAGAAGGCAGTTCAGGACACGTAGAAACGTAAAGCTTAGTGTGCCCTCCTACGATGCTAGCAGGAACTGTGGGCATGCATATTGTAACTTCTGATAGATCAGCTATAGGTTTCCTCCATGCTTGGCAATCGACTGTTTGGCTCTGATAAAGAAGAGTAGCAAGCTTTTATCGAGCAAATGTAGCGCTTGGAACTGGATGGTGCAAAAGCGCCATTTCAGGGTTTTTTGGAATAGATAGGAGTGTGGATAAGTCCCCAAATTCCACCAAAAGAGATCAGACATGGGCAAGCCCACCAAATATGGAGGATATCTCCTTTCAGACCACAACCTCTAAAGCATTTGTCATTATAGAACAGGAGAGACCTTGCTTTTAGACTTGGGCAAGTTGTCCAAATATGGTGAACATCCCCTTTCACACCACAACCTCTAAAGCATCTCTTATTGAAGGACGTGAGGGACCTTGCTATCAGACTTGGGCAAGTCCACCAAATATGGAGTACATCACCTTTCTGATCACAAGCTCTAAAGCATCTGTCATTGTAGGGCAGGAGGGACCTTGCTATCAGACTTTAGCAAGTCCTCCAAATATGTGGATATCCCCTTTCTGACCATAACCTCTAAAGCATCTGTCATTGTAGGACAGGAGGGCCCGTGCTATCAGACCTGGGCAAGTCCACCAAATATAGAATACATCACCTTTCTGACCACAACCTCTTAAGTATTTGTCATTGTAGGACGGGAGGGACATTGCTATCAGACTTTGGCAAGTCCTCCAAATATGGTGGATATCCCCTTTCTGACCACAACCTCTAAAGCATTTGTCTTTAGAGAACAGGAGGGACCTTGCTTTTAGACTAGGGCAAGTTGTCCAAATACGGTGAACATCCCCTTTCACATCACAACCACTAAAGCATCTCTTATTGAAGGACCTAAGGGACCTTGCTATCAGACTTGGGCAAGTCCACCTATCATGTACCTGGTGACAGAGGCCAATGGGAAGCCCTCTCTCCATTGGCCTCTGTCACCAGGTATGTGATAGGTGGACTTGCCTCCCTTGCGGCTATGTTCCAGACTTCCCTGAAGGTGGGACAGCAGGAGTCAGGCCCAGAATTGCACAGGTCGCCTGTGTGAGTGCTTGCTTGGTGGTCCACCCAGGAGCACAGCTGATGCACTGACATGGGGTCTGCAGGCAGGGGGTGCCTGTGCGAGGTATGCAGGTCTTCCAGAGGACAGAGGATCACAGGAGAACCAGTTCGAGCCAAGGTCGGGTACCAGGCGGGGATCGGAGCAGACGTAGTCAAAAGGGGTAGCCAAGGTCATAAACAGAGAGCAGGAGAGAAGATCCGTTAGACAAACTGGGGTCAGGTCGGGGTTAAACAGAGCAGACAGGTCCAGGAGCAAACCGAGTCGTTAACAAGAAATCACAGATCACAATAGCACAGGAACAAGGTACTGGGAAGCCAGAGATCAACCAGCACCTAAGTGTAGTGCAGGGCTTTCTTATAAAGGCAGTTTGGTGCCAAATTTGAGCCGATGTGAACTTCTGCGGCCATGCAAGGTACTGGCAGGGGTGCCAGGTCTCCTAACACCTCTGCCGAGGACAGAGTCATGACACCACCAAATATAGAGTACATGACCTTTCTGACCACAACCTCTAAAGCATCTGTCATTGTAGGATGGGAGGGACCTTGCTATCGGACTTTGGCAAGTCCTCCATATATGGTGGATATCCCCTTTTTTGACCATAACTTCTAAAGCACCTGGAAGTGTAGCACTACCCCCTTAGGAATCGCTGAGTTTTTTGGTCCACCTCAAGCTCTGCATAGCCAGGCAACATGCACCTCTCCACACTTTGCACACCGGAGTCAAAGAACAGTCCTTGAGCTTGGTTTTGTAGTTTTATTTAGGGGTTAAACTTGGATGGGGTCCAGGGGTACATGGGATGGCTGAGGAACTACAACCTTAAGGACAAACTCCTTAGCAACTGTGCACATAAGTGTGTTTCTTTCCTCGAAGAGCTCTAAAGATTCTTCCTAGTGTACCTCTTCAGACCTCGGATGATTACTCCTCTTGACCCAGCTGCACTGAGGGTATTCCCTGGGCAAGGGGGTGCAAGAACTGTTAGTTTAGAAACCGTCCCAGATGAGATGCTAGTTGGGTCTTGCACCTGACTGTCCTCTCCCCTTATCTGGCCCAGGGGGTGTAAGAGTACTCACACTGTCCTTTCCTGTCAGAGGGTTGATGGCTGCCTTCAGGCCTTTCGCTGGGCTGGCTTCTTCCCTGCTGCTCAGCATGTCCTCACCAGGAGACGGTAGCACAGTGGAGAGCCTCGTTTCCTGCAAACTGCCTGTAGGTAAGCCTCCTCCCTGGGGCCCCCTCCCAGGCTCCATGCTCCAGCCTTTACCTCAATCCATCTTTCACCCGACACTGCACACTACTGCACAGGCTTTGCCACTTTTAAGGGTTACATTGGTAAACATGCCCAGCCTCCTGCCAGGGGATTGGCCAAGGCAAGGTCCCTCAAACATTCAGATCTGCAACACCTCCTCTCCCCTGCCTCTCTTTCAGAAAGTTCTCTATGTTCTGGAAGGGTAGGAGTTCTCCTGAAACCCTGACTCA